GCTTTCCCTATCACGGGTAAGACTATAGTGAACGTCCTTGAGATGTTTGCCTTCACACACGTCTCTGGTTATGCCCTTAAAATAATTTCCTAGACGGGGTGCCTAGGTGGCTCAGTCGGTTGAGCACCTGACTTTTGGTTGTGGCTCAGGTCGTGATCTCAGGGTCGTGAGATTGAGCCCCCCGTGGGGCTCCTCGCTGGGCGTGGAGTCTGCTTAAGACTGTCTCTCCCTCTGCCCTTCCCTCCCACTTGTGTGCGTGCTCCCTCTCTCAAAATAAATAATAAATCTTTAATAATAAAAATAATAAATTTCCTAGCTATGAATTACCGGTTCAAAGGGAATGCACATCTTTAAAAATGATGTAAATGATCAAAACCGTCCTCCGGAAAGACTCGCCTGCTCCTGATGGTTGGATTGTTGTAAACTTTACCATCTGAACGTTCAGACTCCGTGTCGATTAAAGACAAAATACTCACACGTCTTCCATGCCATCTCCCCCCAGACTGCACCACCCCCCAGCTCTGTAACCTCTCGCAGTGACCTGGCTTTCCCGGCCGTGTGTCATTTGTAGTTTTGGGTCAATAGGCTGGTTCCTTGGGCTGGGGTGTGAGCCCGCCAGGGTCAGGGGTGGCGCTTTATTCGAGTCTCTAACCCCAGGGCCTAGCCCAGCCTCCCCCAGGGGACCGGCTCCCCCAGGGCGTGTGCTGGTGTGAAGCCCTCGGTCCCTTCCCCAGAGAGCACGCTCGGGCTGGCTGGCACACAGTGTGGAGGGTGGGACAGGACACAGGGTTTGGAGCCAGGCCTCCCCAGCACGAGCTGCTGGGTGCTCGTGAGCAAAGCGACTTAGTCTCCCACGGGACGTGGGACCACGGGGTCTGCCTTGCAGAGTTGTTTGGGGCTTAAGGGCCACTAGACAGTAATACCTGACTCTGTGGCTTTGAGTCTTCTGGTTCCCATTCATGGTCGGCTAGCGTCACTTTATCAACAAAGTTGTCACTAACCAGCAGTCAAGTGAGAAAAACGAGACTCATACGGTGAGATTTTCTTAAAGTGAAATCTATTCAATTCCAAGGACTTTTTTTACTCAGGCTTGATAAGATTGCTACTTTTTTGCTGCTAACACCTCCTTTTGTTTATGAAGTGATGGTGACTGGACGTGGGAAGTTGTTTTATTGTGTCTATATTTTTGATCAGACTGACACACGCACACAAAACACAATAGACAATGACTCTCTCTGAGTCCCGTTGACGTCCCCGTTTTTTGGCTCAAGACAAAAAGGGCTCAGAGCGACTGGTGAGGCTGGAGCTCCGGTGGGATTTCTGGTCAAACACCCCAACTCCACGTCTGCACTGAGGGCAGGAGAAGGAGCTGGGAAGCAAAACAGCAAGTGTCTCCCACCAAACGGCTACCCTTGTTTTTGAGTGACAGGAAGAACAATGTGATCCTCTCTTTTTTCTGGACAAAACTGTGAAGATTTTGGAGTCTGCCTGGGGGTCCCCGACAGAGCAGTGACTTGGGGGCCTCACCACCCCCAGAGGCACCTCCAGAGTTGCTCTCGGTTCAGCTCCCCCCCGCCGGTTTCTCATCCTCCACCCTTCCTCACTCCAAATGGTTCCTCCAGCTTTTTTGTCATCCATCTCATGAATTGTTCTAGTTCCCTGTGGCTCATGACCGTTTCTAAAAATCGAATCTGCCCATAGAGAATGGAGATTTGCCAAGGTCCAGGAGGTGCCCACAAGGAGCAGAAGGCTCTAGAATGTTAACAAAGCTATCTTCCCTCTTCTCACCTTACAGGTCTGGGTGTTCGTGCAGGACCCTACTAGCTTGGTTGGTGCCATTCCTGTTTGTCTAAGGGATCCCAGACCCCGACCCCACTTGGCCTCATGTCTCGGCACGCGATGCATGACGGTAAGGCTGGATAAAGAGGCAAGTGTAGAAACCACCCTCAGAGGAGGCAAATTATTAAGATCTTCTTGGAGAAGCATGTGGGACACAGGGCCGCCCCCAAACAGGGTCTCATTCCTTGGCCAGGACTTGAGGAGCAGCCCCAAAGGCCATGATGGCCCCAAAAGCTTTCAGCACCTAAAGGCCCCAGAGCGCTCCGGCTGTGAGAAGGGGGCTTGTGGGTGCAGAGGATGTGGCCAGGCGCAGTGACAGCGGGGAGGCGGCCCCAGTGGGGAAGGAGATCCCATGACGGGTCTTGTGGTGGCTTCAATGGTGGCTCCCCGAAAGCTGTTTGCATCCTAACCCCTAGTGTCTGGGAATGTGACCTTATGTGGAAAAAGGGTTTTGCAGATGTAATTAAGTGAAGGGTCTCAGGATGAGATCATCCCGGATTATGTGAGGGGGAGGGGCCTGAACCTGACGAGTCCTTATAAGAGACACACAGAGATAGAGAAGACCATGGGAAGACCAAGGCAGAGATCGGCATGATGCAAGGCCAGGAGCCTCCAGAAGCTGGAAGAGGCTAGGACGGAGTCTCCCCTCGAGGCCTCCAAGACAGCACCTTGATGTCGGACGTAGGGCCTCCGGATTGGGAGAGAATACATTTCTGTCGGCCACACAATGGCACCCTGGGGAAAGGAACACAGACCTCTCTGGGCAGAGGCCGGGGCTTTTGTCATTTCAGGAGGTAGGGACAGTCCCTGATGGTGCCAGGAGGGAGAAGTAGAGGTGGGCGTGCACAGGGAGCTCCAGGAAAAGGCCACCAGTGAGCCCCCCAATCCAAGGGGCAGCAGCCTGCTTCAGGAGTCTTGGAGGGGGGCTCTGGAACAAGAGCAGAGAAGCAGAAAAGGGGGATGAGATAAAGATGAGAGGTGGGACACGTGCACATGGATGCCTGAGCAGAAGCCACAGCATTGCTCACGACGGCCGAGAACTGGAAACGTGCCAAGTGTCCAACTGTAAGGGATTGAAAACCATCGTACAGCCTTGAAACGACTGCAAATTCGCGGTAGTTAGCTGCCATGGACAGGACTCCAGGTCCGCAGTTGAATGAGAGCCGTCAGTTAGTATACGGAGTGTGATCCCGTGTCTCTATAATGGAAGCGCCTATTCTGCTTAGGAAAAGCCTAGAAGAAAAGCTCACTAAGTGTGCTTATCAGTGGTTGGGGGAATTCTGGGCGATTTGGGCTTTTATTAACTTTTTTCCTTCTCTTTCCACCTTTTCTAATTTCTTCTACCATGGAATCTGTGGTTGTGTAATATGTTTAAGGCTTTATTTTTTTTATAAGATCCTTAATTGGAATTGAAATATCGTCTTTTAAAATGAAGTCCTTAATACGAAATCGTCAGCAAAGTTATCTGCCTGCCTAAAAGAGCTTCCAATACCCCTGGTGGGAAATGGGAATTAGTTCAGTCCTTTTAGAGAACAATCGGGCAGCGTCTATTAAAATTTAAACTGCACATACCCTTTGATCCAGCAGTTTCACTCCCAGGCATCAATTTCAGAGAAATTCTCAAATACCCATGCAAATAGCTTGTATAGGGTGTTCGCTGGAACATCACTTGTAACCGCAAAAAAAAAAAAAAAAGGTGGAAGGGAGCTAAATGTTCCAAACGGAAAGGGATGAACGCATGGTATTTATCGCTGTTGTGGAATACTACTTAACCACTAAAAAGTGTGAGGCAGATTCGTACATACTGGTAGCAAAAGATTTCCGAACTGTAGCTAAGGGAGGAAAAAAACCAATTTGTGCAGTATGATGTTGCTTATGGAAAAATACCAACCAACTTTTGTACAAATACATACATACGTTATGTATAGTTGCCTAGCAAAAGAGGTCAGAGGCTGCGTCAAACCCCCTTCTGCCTCCTTATAAGGACATTGGTGATTACATTTAATGCCCACTGGATCATCCAGGGCCTTAATCCCTTGGGCATCTTGCTTCAGATGTCACACCGTGTGTAGCGGGGAGGAGGGAGGTGGCCTTGGGAGGGGAGTGGGGGGGGCAGGGGGCCTCACCTTTTGCTTTCTCTAAGTGTGTACTGTTCGAATACTATACGTTAAGAATACAGCCATGATTCATGTATTAAGATACATCAGCTGGATGCATAAAGAGGCTGGAAAGCTTTCATGCACCGAAACTGTGGGCAGGCACTCTACCCCTTCACTCCCGTGTGGGCACGTGGGCACACGTTGCCCCCCGTCACCCCCCACCCTGCTCTGCTCCGTGGTCTCCTCATCTGTCCCACCAGCAGTGTCCCAAGCCCCTTGGAACTCAAAGAGTCCCCAGTTCTCTGTTTGCAGTGACAAAAGGAAAGATTCATTTCCCTTCCTTTGGGTGGGATCTTGAGGACCACGGCATGGAGACCCAACCAGTTGCTTTGCTGTGGAGAAAACAGAATGAGGAAAAAAAAAAAATCAACCCCTCTCATCACGTGACTCCCAGAGCCCACCCAATACCCAGAACCCCCAAAGTGCCCCCTTCTGCAGGAAGAAGGCTGCTTCCTCCCCTCAGTAGACTTTTAAAATAGTCGATGTGCAAAAAGATTTTCTGAGACTTTGAGAGGGATTTTTTAGTACCCTGCTCTGTAATATCCAGGAGGTGTTTAATAAACATGATATGCAGCAGTTGCTAAGAGAATCTGATTTATGTACAAAAGCAATGCAAAGCAACTGCGCATCGGGGTTGTGTCCTTTTCTTTGACTGTGAATCCTGATATTCTTAGGGAAGCAGTTGGGCTGAACTTTATTTATAATCAGCTTACAGCATGGATAGCTGTACTGTAAGTGCTTCTCAAATTACATAGCAAATCTTGTTGTCTCCTTCGGCAAATAAGAGGCCCACATCATAAGCTTTAATTGTAATACAGGTCACTGTCAAGGGTAAAATATTTTCCAAACGCTTCTGATTAGTGAAATCATATATGGCTGAGGCAGGGGCTGGGGCCACAGCCTCCGCACCTGAGGACAGCTCAGAAAGCAGCCAATAAATAAATTGACGTTAAGGAAATCTCATTACGAAAAAAATTTAATTTTTCTACAGTCGCATTGAAGGGTTCACCAAGACTCATGGATCGCTTGCTCTAAGGAGCTTCTCTCCAAAATGAGTCCTAAGTATATTCCAGGAAATTTGAGTCAGGGAGGAAGGCTCGTTTCAGTAGCTGAGAGAAAGAGATCAGAGCAGATGGGCAAGACCAGTTTCCCAGAAACTCAAGCAGGACACGGGACAAGACTTCGAGGCTTTCTCCCTTTGCTACGGCTGTCCGGCAGAGGGAAACCACAGAGCGATTTCTCGGTTGTCCGTCTAAAACCCCTCTCCATGGGAGCCTCTGCAGAAGGATCCCAAAAGTGCCGAAACACCTTTCTAAATCGTTCTCACAATTCATCATTAACACCCGATGGATCTGAATCAAAGGAGCCTGCTTTTTCAGTGCCCTTTTAAAATCTCCGTGACCTGGCTTTCTCATTCTGTGAAATCAGATGGAAGGGACCTCAGATCAACCGTTGTTAGCTGAAGCCTGTATGGGAACAAGGGACAAGCTGGATCATTCCCGGCATCAGGCACATCCTGGGAAATGCATAAAATTCCCAATCAAATTTAAAATACACATATCCCCTTTCTCTTTTCTTCATCTTCAAATGTCCAGTTTTCAACTCCTCCACCCCACCTCCTCTGCTTCTTTGCCCCTTTCTAGAAATGACAAGCAGATACCTTTCCCCATCCCCATTTCGGTCAGCCTCAGCATAGCCCCCGTGCATACGGCCCCAGTTAGTACTTGGGTGTGGGTGCATACGGAGGGGTTCTCCGGGTGCCTTAAATCCATTCATTCATTCCTCCAAGTCAAATATTTATCAAACACCTAATATATACCAGGCATCGTACTAGGTGTCTCTAGCCACAAAAGTGGCTGAGACAGAAGGGATAGACGCAATTTATAGTTTCATGAGGTGAAAGAAACCAAAACAAAATAAAAAGCTAAGTATGAATGGGGATGATCTCTGTGAAGGAAGCAGCTTTAAGGGAAACAGAGGATCGCCGGTGGTCCAGGAGGGTCTCTTGGCAACCTGGAGGTCAGGAGTCTGTGTGCAGAGGTGGGGCTGGAGCCCTCCATGGAAACTCAGCAAGACTGCTAACACACGTGTGATGCCTCACGCTGTGCGGACCTGGCGGTTTGCAGGGAGTGCGGGTGCTGTGCAGTCTCCCCGCATCCTTTCTGAACCCCGGGACTCAGGTGAGCAGAGCGGAGGAGAATGTATTATCCCCTTTCCCAGAAGAAGAAAAGGAGGCTGACAGGGTAGGAGGCCTGCTGGAAATCCCTCAAGCGGTGAGCAGGGGCTCCTCGCCACTGTTCTGCCCCCACCACAGATGCTAGAGCCTTGAGATGTGTTCGGTCTCATCCCCGGGATGACCACGGCAGGGGTTATACCAGGGCAGGGTACCCTACAAGTGTACCCTTGTGCAGTGACCAGCCTGAACCACTGTACGTGGCAGCCCCGGACAGGAGGGTCTCTTCGGGCATCTGAACCATGCTGCTGCACTCATCCTCTGTTGCTTTCACCCTGTGACTCCACCTGCCCTTCCCATATGCTTCCCACCCTGTCTTCCTCTTTGTTCCATACACATCAGCCTCCTCCATGCAAGTGGGCCTAGGAAAATGTGTTTCTCTTGCTTCTTCTGACTTCCGACTTCTACTCAGCTTCTTAGTTTTCTTGATCCTAATCCAAGACACCTCTCCCTGTGAAGCATGCCTGACTCTCCCTTCCATGTTGCTAAAACCCTTTCTCAAATCTTCCCGTAGCCTCTTGGACTCCCCTCCCTTCCTGTCTCTAGTCAGCCATCAGAGTAATATTTAAAGGGTGCAAATCACATCATACCACTCCCCTACCTAAAAACTATTCTGAAGTTTTCCATGGCTACTAGGACACAAATCACATCCTCACAGTGGCTTCCAAGAATTTGTTTCATGTGGCCTCAGCTTGCCCGCATAACCTCGCTTGATGCCATGCTCTCCTCTAGGTCTGTGTCTAGTTTCTTGAATTCACAACTTCTTCCTGCCCCAGGGCCTTTACACATACTGCTCCCTCTGCCAGAAATGCAGAAGGAACGTTCCTGACTTGATTGACATATGGGTTTCCTGTTTTGCTCTCTTGAAATAAAAGCTAATACTTAGTAAATGATGTATGCTTCACACTTCGCTCTAAAATCTTTTTGTGTGCACTTATTTAGTCCCCACACAGATACCATGAGGGAGATACTATTCGTCCTCTCACTTTAAAGACCCAGACTGGGAGGCCCTGAGAGGTTGAACACTTTGCCCAGAGACACACAACTAATTAGATCTAGGATTGAAATCCAGGTCAGTGTGATCTCAGAACCCCCAGACTGTCTACTTTTCTGAACCTGCGGGGAAGCTTTCTATTTCCAATAGACCGTGTGCCGCCTTGCCTTATTTTTGTAGATCTAACATAGAAGAAAAAAAAAAAAAGCACCTGGAACATGCAAAGTACTCAACAAATATTGACTGTGCAGATCCAGGAGCCGGAAGTAGCTGGAGAACAGACGGAGCCAGGCCTGGTGCATTCCCTACGAGACCACACGCAGACCTGGGCTGTGGACGATCATTGTCATGGTTTCCTGCGGCTGTCCTTTTGCAGCTTCTGAAGCTCTGTTCCTTGCATTCCTTGGCTCCCGGCCCCTTCCTCCATCTTCCCAGCCAGCATCGTGGCATCTGGCTTTAGTCGCTGTTCTATCTTCTTCCGTGCAAACTCCCCTCTGCCTCCCATTGTAAGAACACTCGTGATTACATTTAGGACCCACCCAGATGGTCCAGGATGATCTCTCCATCTCAAGGTCTTTAACTTAATCACATAGACAATGCCCCCTTTGCTGTGTATGGTGGCATATTCACAGATCCTGGGGATTGGGGCCTGGCTATCTTCGGGGACCATTAGTCAGCCGGCCTCAATACTAATAGCTATGAACCAAAAGCTAGTAGTCATCTGGCCGCCTAGAGCTTCACGTGGCTCCCAGCTGACCTCACGATAGCGTTACCAGACAGATACTCGAAGCACCACTCGGTTCTCAAGTGAGGAGACCAGGGCTTAGTAAGAGGCAGAGTCAGGATTCGAACCCAGGCCCCCAGGGCTCAGAGCCTTGTAAATAACCCTATGGCGCCTCTGAGTTCAGTGGGCTCCTCAGGAGAGCAGGTGACAGACAGAAGCCCCGAAGTACACATGCCCCGTAGCTTCATGGAAAACCCCACAACAGGCTCCAGAGTGAGGCATCCCGGCCTTGGCATTGGTGGCGACCCCTGTGCCCTGGAGCCCGGGCACCTGCAGGTCAGGCGGGTGGGAGACCCCGCTGGCCCCGCCACATGGTGGTGTCACTCAGCGCCCGCAGCTTTATGGCCTCACGCCCAGCAGGCCTCCGTTCCCGCCAGCCACTCGGACTCCGGAGCCCTGCACCTCGTTAATGTATTATTTATTTTATTACCTCATTGTGGAAGTTGGTGTTTATAATTCGCTACTTTGTATAATGGCCTTCTAATGCACACAGTGCTAAATAATTTAACGATGTCTTGCCACGGCCCCCCAGGAGCCCAATTCCTTCATCCTGCTAACTAGGTCAATGGTTTAAGTCCGGTCCCGACGTTTTCCTTTCCTGGTGAGCATCCCGGTGGAGTGGGTGTCACCGAGAGGCATGTCGGGACCAGGGGTGACTAGCATGCCAGCATCTGGATCGTAGGGGTGTTGCCCATCCCCTTCGCCTTGAGGGCAGAGAACATGTCTGATGGGCTGAATTCCCTGAAGACTCCACATCCTGATCCCTGGAACCTGTGGGTATGTCTCCTTGCACGTAAAAAGAGACTTTGCAGGTGCGATTGAGTTAAGGACATTGAGGGGGGAGGGTATCCTGGATTATCTGAGTGGGCCCAGTGTCATCACGAGGGTCCTTGTTGTGTGAGAGGCAGGGTCCTTGTAGAGGATCCAAGCAGAGAGAAGAGAAGGCAGTGTGAAGCCCCTCAGAGAGATCTGGAAATATTACACATCTGGCTTGAAGCTGAAAGCCAAGGAATTCAGGTGGCCTCTAGAAGCTGGGAAAGGCAGGAAACAGTTCTCCCTAGAGCCTCCAAAAAGGAACCTGCCCTGCTGACCCTTTGATTTTCACCCCATATCCAGTTCCTGGCTTCCAGAACTATCAAAGAATAAAGTTGTGTGTTGTCTACAGCCAGCAAACTTGTGATTTGTTCTAGCAACCGTAGGAAACAAATACACCGTGTCGTGTGTGTGTGTGTTTCCACCTAACACAGAGCTTGGCACACGGCAGGAAAGGCTGCTGGAGCGACGAGATGAGCTCCAGCATGGATCGGTGCGGGCGGAGGGTTGATGGAAGGCTACCCAATGACCCGTGAATATGGACACAGCATCCAGACCCACTGACACCAGCTTGGCAAAATCTGGGCCAGATTCCTAAGCCTCGGCCAAATGGGGTTGGCAGGCAAATGGAGCCCACAGAAACCCCAGACCTCCACTACAGCTAATGGGCTTCATGTCCTCTCCTGCCAAGCTTTTGGCTGGTGAAATGTACAACCACTGCTCATAGTCAGACCTGCTTTGTCGGCCCCAGAGGCCCCACCCCAGCCAGACCCTGCAGGTAGGCTGCACAGGTTCAATCATCCCCGTAACAGATAAGGAAAGCGGAGCCGGGAGAGGTGAGAAGACTTCTCCTGGGGGGGTTCTGCGAGCCGGGGGCAGGCCTGGCATGCCTGGAGTCCCACGACCCCTCGTGACACCAAGCTGCTGGGGCGTGCCGAGCTCCAGATACATCTTCTCTCCTCTTACAGGGGTCCTGATTCACCCTGTCAGGCAGCAGGGAAAGGATCCAAGTAGGTCCCTAATTTGATAAACCGGCTCCTGAATAACGGATTGCTTTTCCATATGAGCGATAGGTGAGGGAGGCAAATGCCTTTTCCTTTCCCATCCATCATCTGGCCTCTGGTCCGCGGGACTTCCCGCAAGCACCCATGTGCTCCACCTACAAGAAAATCAAACATGTGGAACGTCAAGTTCCTGGCCCTGGGGCCCCGCTGTCTGCAGGGTAAGCTGACCAAGGGCCAGGAAAGCCGGAATCCCAGAGCAGAGGCCATGAGACCTTCGGCGTTATTTCTCCTGTCCTCCCTTGGTGCATGGCTTGCTTGGGGTGGGGGGGGGGCGCAGACAGAAGGAGAGAACATTAAAGCTGGTGTGATCCCCAAAGAAATGAGCCGCGGCCTGCCCCTCCCCCACTGCGATGACACAGTAGGTCGAGGAAAAGGCTCCAATTTGCTTGTGGAATTTTCCCGTGAGACCCATGCTCCCAAATGCAAAAGGCATGGCACATCCCTGAATGCATTGTGAGGAGCCTGTGTTCCAGAGACACAAGGGCCCATCCTCTGCCAGAATGTTGCTGGTATGGCTCATGGATGTCGTATTGTTAAGGTTCGATGGTGGGTTTGTACCCACCCCTTCCTTCATCTGGTCAGGCCACATCCATGCCCTGCGAGCCTAGCGGTGCCGGGCGTGAGTGACCCCCACACCCCTGACCACCAAGGAGCTCAAACTCTGCATGGGGAGACTGCCGTCTGCACACAGCCACAGGGTCGACACTCGGTGCCAGGGTCCAGGGGAGCTCAAGGGGCAGGGGCGTGGAGAGGACCCAGCCAGCCAGAGAGGCATCGGGGCAATGGGACGCCTGCTCCCAGTCCTGAACAAGTAGGAGCTCATCAGGCCAAGCAGGTGGCAAGATTGCTGCCATTAATCAGGAGCCCAGAACTGAGGGAACATAAAATGTGCTCCTGGAAGGCATCCTCCTGGCTAAATAAGTGGACAACTTGCAACTTAAATGTCATGTGGTTTGAGCAAGCGGGGAGTCAGGGCTCTTTCAACAAGAGCTAGTGTTAGGGGCACCTGGGTGGCTCAGTCAGTTAAGGGTCTGCCTTCGGCTCAGGTCGTGATCCCGGGGTCCTAGGATCAAGCCCCGCATCGGGCTCCCTGCTCAGCCAGGAAACCTGCTTCTCCCTCTCCCTCTGCCGCTCCCCCTGCTTGTGCTCTCTCTCTCCTTCTTTCTCTCCCTGTGACGACACATAAATAAATAAAATCTTTAAAAATAAAAGAAACGCTAGTGTTTATTGAGCCCATGCTTGCAACAAGCCTTGACTGGACTTTGGGGACATGGCAATGGCCCAGGAGCCATCAGCCCTGCCGGGAGGGGTAAGTGGTGGGGGAGCAGACCCACAGGTATTGCTGAAGGTATTTACCAAGGACCCATGCTGTGTGCGTGCTCAGTGTCCCTTCTCCTGGGAGCAGATCTGTGCTCAGGCTTTTTAGAAGATTTTATAAGGAGAAGAGCTTGTGGGCGACCAACAGGGTGATGGTGGCGAGAATTAACCTAACAGACCCCAACGGGATGGTGACTCTCAGCGAGTGAGTTGGGGTTACTTGGTCATATGCTGTGTTTCCTCAAGAGGTTCACCCAGCGCACCTCCACCCTGTTCAAGAAGCACAGATTTCTCTTTTTAATAATAAAGTGCTATAATAATTACTACCACCACCCTTACTGAAACTAGGAACCCTTACTAAATGCTCAGTTTGTACACGGTATTATGCTAATGCACTTTATCACATTGAATTCTTACACGGCTCTGGGAGTCAAGTAGCGTTTTCTTTATTTTATAGAAGTGGCTGAGGTTCAGAGAGTTAGACCCAAAGCCAACAGCTAGTGATGGAGTCGGGACTCAAATCCAGGTCTCCCAGGAGTGTTATATGAGGATTAGTCAAGGCATGAGCCAAGACCTCGTGCAGCAGACTCACCTGGGCTGCCTATTAAAAATGCAGATTCCTGGCTCGGCCTCTGACCTCAAGAATCAGAATCTGGGGTTGCAGAAATGAGAAGAATCTAGATTTGCTTAAAACACTCCCCACCCCTCCCCGCCATCATCCTGCGGCACACCAGTCTGAGAACCACCTTTCTGTCTATAACAGGCAAGTCAACTCCTTCACTATAAATTCATGCTGCCCCCACCCCCACTCCCACCCCCAATGGCCACTGATGGGGTGTTCGGTGGTTCTGTTTCCAGAAGAAGGGCCCGGTTCTGCATGAAGCAATCCACATTTGTAATCACCAGGATGCCCTAGGTTCTGCGGCTGTCATAGGCAACCTTGAGATCTCGGTTGCTCGATAGGACGTGGCTATTCCCACTCGAGCTAAGTGTCCCCGGCAGGGCCCCCCGCTTCACACAGTCGCTCGGGGACGCAGGGTGATGTGGCTCTGCCATCTCGTAGCCACACCACCTCTGCGTGTGGCCTCTCAGTCATGGCAGCGAGAACAGAAAGTGCTGGAGGGGCTCCTCGCTAGCAGTTAAATGCTGCAGATAGGAGGAGACGTGTGTCACTCCCTCTCACAGCCTACTGGCCAGAACTGGTCCCCCGGCCTCTCTAGTGGCAGGGGGCAGGAAGCGGGGCCCTCCCAGGTGCCCAGAGGGAGAAGAGAACCAGACGTGGCGGGGCGGGGGGTCCTCTGGCACATCTGCTCAAATTGTCCCTCTCATGGACGCCACTGAGTTCAGAGATGTGTGATCACAGACAACCCTCTGTCCTTGGAAAGGTGACTCTCAGGAAAGGCGCACGAAGGGTCTGATTTGTTCCCGTGGGCCAGAAAGGGCAAATCTCAAGGGAGGAAGAAACAGAATGAGAGGCAGGGCCATGCCTGGGAAGGAGGACCGAGCCTGGGCGTCAAGAGACCCAGCTTTTCATCCTGCTCCTGACTTGATTCTGTGGGACCTCGGGCAAGTCACTTAAGCTTCCTGACCCCCTTCCCCTGCCTCTTGGCACAGAGTGGGCAGGCTGGAGGAGTGGGAGGCCTGGCAGCTCAATGGACCGTGCCCTCTGACCTCAGGCCCACCCCCAACTCTTGGGCGTGGAGGAGGTTTTCCACCCAAGAAACCCCGATAGGCAGAGCAGCTCACGAAGGACACCGCGCAGAGGTTGGCCCACCCGCGAGCCAGCCCAGCCAGCACCGATGGAGGCTACCAGGTGCCTCTCCAAGTCCCATCTGAGCACCCAGACAGGAGTGGCCCCAGTGAAAAGAAAGCCGTTTGTCACACAGTTCCATGTCCCCACAAGTGCCACGTCCACTTTCCCTGGGGGGCCTTTAGCAATACCTCGAGAAGGCTCACATGTGGAGACTCCCAGAACTCTAACTCTTAAATAAATGCCCAAAGGACCACCTCCAGGGTATTCCCAGTGCAGCAGAGACCTGACAGAGCCAACAGGGGTCTGGAGGAAGGGCCGGCACCCCTCGACTCCCTCCCCGGCTCCTGACGAGACCTGACCAGAGGGGGGCCGGCTCCTGCGGGGACCTCAGCCTCTCCCTGGTGCACGGTCCCCTGGCCACCCGGGTGGACACCCTTTGCAACAGGCCAATGAGAAGATCCCAGAAGGCCAGTGAGAACCAGGGTCACATGGCAGAAGTTCCATCTCCCATATGTCTCCTTCCTTCCCTTCAGTCCCTAGACTGGGATTATGCAAGTGTGCAGAAAAATGTGACTTCATTTGTTTTCGATAACTGCTTTCATCTCACTCTCCGCCCCAAGTCTTGTGACAGCAGGGACCCCAATTTTGCCATCGAGGCTACCCGGTCATTTCCAGGCGAAAGCTTAGTGTCTTTCAGGACTTCTTGCCCATTTTCAAGGATCCTCCCTTATTTCTTCCCATGGTGGAGTCTGGGGTCAAGGGGTCCACGCAGTGCTGGGGGCAGAGTGATGCCTCATGAGGCCCCCACTGACCTCTAGTCAGGCCGTTACTCACCCCTGGTCCTTCCATGTCCCCTGATGAGTAGCATGGCCATTGGGTCTCTGGGCATCCTGCTTTGGCGTCTGCTGGTCCTTGGAGCATTGTGCTGTGCCCACTGGTTCTGGTTCCAAGAGTCCACACCATGTGGCCTCCTCGTCCAACTCAGGTCACTGATAGACTCCGGCCCTTCTGGGCTTCCCAGATCCTGCAGACTCTCTGGGCACCTTGCCAGAGATGGTGGGCCCGGCGAGCTGCCTCAGGCCCACTAACCAGACCTCTTCCCTTGGCCGTATCTCTCCAACACTCTGCATCCACCTTCTGCTCCGGGGGGTTCTCCACATTGAGCCTAGGAAACATGGAAGGAGCTCCCTGTTTGGGTTCTGACCCTGGGAAGTGAGGGGCAACTCACATTGGCCCTCTCCCCTCTCTTCCTCCCCACCAGGACCCTCATCCCAACCCTGAACGTCCTCCCTTCCCATGTGGCAGAAACTGCCCCTCTCCCACCTTATGGATCACCCTCCCGCCAGTCCTCCAAGCTTCGGCTCTTGAGATGTGAAACCCAGCTCTGGAGGCGTTCTGAGAAAATAGCTTTTCTCTTCAGAAAGCCTGGCTTGCAAGAACATTACCTCACAATGAGTTCTTATTTTTAAAGGCCAGTTGAAACTCAAAGTAGAGCAACACTCCTTTGTTCTAGGCAGTACCAGCCCTCGCTTCCCTGGAGTGAAAACCTCATGGCCTCATCTTCAAGTTCAAGGGTCCTGCGAGGGATTGAGGAGGTGGGAGGAGAATCTGAATTACCAAGAAGACAAAACAGAAGTGATATTTCAAAGTAGTGTTTTGCCTTCCTTCCTTCCCTCTGTCTTCCCTTTCTTCTTTTCCTTAGTTGGACATTGGTTTACTTCCACCTACATCCTGGACTTGGTCACGCAGCATTCTGGGCATGCAGTGATGAGAAAGACCGGTCCTTTCCTTCAGGAGCTGGCAGTTCATGGGGCGCCTGGGTGGCTCAGTCGGTTGAGCGTCTGCCTTCGGCTCAGGTCATGATCCCGGGGTCCTGGGATGGAGTCTCACATCGGGCTCCCTGCTCAGCGGGGAGCCTGCTTCTCCCTCTCCCTCTGCCACTCCCCCACTGTTTGTGCTCTCTCTCTCTCTCAGAAATTAATAAATAAAATCTAAAAAAAAAAAAAAAAGGAGCTACCACTTCAGAGGGAGTAGGCTGACCTGGTCACCTGGGGCTGAGGGGTTTCTAGGGCCCTAAGGCTTTTGGTGCTAAAACCAGGACAGTCCCAGGGTTGGTTACTCTGAGAGAGACTTGATGGTGTCGTATAAGAAGGCCATGAGAGATTCATGCCACTGCAGAAAGAGTCTCATTGAACTGGGGAAAATCCGGTGATGCTTCATGGAAGAGGCAGCAGGTACCAGTAACGGTAACCGCCAAAGCCGGTGTGTGCTCCGTGAGCATTACCCCATCCAAGGCTCACAGCTCACCCCTGGAGCCAGAACCATTACTGCTGCCGTTTGGTCCAGGGGAAACAGGCTTCGAGAGGAAGGGACTGGCCCATTGGGGAGAACGGGACCCCATCCAGAACACGGGCTGTGGCCTTCACCACCTCCACCTGCAGGGTCTCGGGATGAGCAGGAGTGTGGTGGGTGGGGAATGAGCGGGGCTTGTCGGAGGAGCAGAAGGGAATCAGAGGCCCCGGGAGAGGGCTCTGCGGACGACCTGGGGCAGGAAGCCGGCATTTTGTTCCTGAGTGTGAAGGCCTTTGCGTGCCGTGCTAAGGAGTTTGGACCCCATGGACGGTCAACAAAGGTTTCCGAGTAAGGTGAGCGTGGGCCGGGATGAGAGGGAAACCAGAAAAGCCTGCTTGGTTGGAGGAAAGAGGGGATCCCACGGGCCCTGTCGTCTGAGCTCGCTGGCCGAGAGGGGACTCAGAGCGCCCAGCGAACTCCTGAAGCCCGGGGGCCTGGGGCTCACAGCTGAGAGTGAGCGCCCCCCGTGCCTCCCTTATGTGCCAGGGGGGCTTGGAGTGTTTGTGACACTGCCTGTGGGTGTTAGAGCAGACTCCAGCCCAGGCCCATCTGGCCACCTGAATTCAAAGCCCCTGTTCAGGGATGCAGAGAAGCCACGGGGACAAAGAGGAGCATATTAGTTTCCTATCACTGCTGTTAACACATATGCACAGTTCAGTGGCTTAAAACCACACACTTAGTCTCCCCGGTTCTGGAGGTCAGACGTCTAAGATGGGTTGGCAGGGCTGGCTCCTCTGGAAGGCTCTAGGGAGGAATCCATTTACTTGCCTTTTCTAGCTCCTGCAAGTGGCCCACACTCCTTGGCTCATGGCCTCTTGGCTCACGGTCCCATCCTCACCTCACTCGGACTTCTGCTTCTTGTCGCATCTTTCTGGTAAGCACCCTTGTGGTTATGGTGAGCCCGTCCAGATAAACCAGGACAATCTCCTCGACTCAAGATCCCTCACTTAATTCCACCTGCAAAGTTCCTTTTGCATGTAAGGGAAGTGAGACAAGGCCATCTTGGGTGGGGATAGGGGCTGTCATTTTGTCTGCAGTGAGGAGACCATGAGGAATCATGGCTGGGGCATCCAAAGAAGGCTCAGAGCCTGTGGTCTTTCAGTGAGCAAACATCCTGAGAATTGTATGAGTGTTTCATCGGGCTACTGGAACAGAGACTGCAAAGAACAGATCCTCATCAAGAATTGTAATTCTCTTTCAGGTAAACAGTTGGGGCAACAGGGCTGGAGGGCATCCTCACAGTGTCATGGGCCAGGCCCACTCAATCTTGTCCCTGTGTCCTCTTTGGGTGTTGTCCTGGACCGCATGTCCCAAGTGGCTTTCTGACAGGTCCAAATTCCAAGCAGTTGGAAGGGGCCAATGGGAGAGGGGAAGGTGCGCGTTTACTTTATGACACGGAAGTTCAGCCTTGGGTTCTATCACATTCACATTGGCCAAAACACAGTCACATGGTGATGCCTAGCTGTACAGAAGGCAGAGAGAAGCTGTTCTTATTCTAAGTGGACAGGTGCATAGCTTAGTGTTCTATGACTCCGGAAAACACGGTAAATAGATGTTGGGGGCCTACAGCCAGTGTCTGCCCCAAGCACCTACTAAGTTCACAGAACATGGAGAGGATGCTAAGGATACAGCAGTAAGGGGACCTTTGACCTTAGGCAGCCCGCAGATGCTCAAGGGAGACAGACAAGCAAACCAACAATTATAGTTTGCTTTAGTGGATGCCTACCCAGTGTGCCATGAAAACCCCAAGGCTGGGTGTCTCCGTCTGCTTGGGCCACCATAACGAAATCCCACAGACTGGGGGGCTTAGACAACAGACATTTATTTTCTCACAGTTGTGGGGGCTGGAAGTCCCAGATCAGGAGGCAGCATGGTCAGGTTCTGGTGAAAGGCCTTTTCTGGGCTTGTAGACAGCTGCCTTCTCACGGTGTGCTCACATTGCAGGGGGGGACACGGGGGTGGGGTGGGGGTGCTCTGGCATTCTTCTTATAAGGACACTAATCCCATCATGAGGGTCCTACTCTCATGACTTCATCTAAACCTACTCATCTCCCAAAGGCCTCATCTCCACGTAAGGCACACTGGGCTTTAGCATATTAATTTGGTCGGGGGAGGTGGGGGGGTAGGCGACACAATTCTGTCCATAGCCCTAGCAGGTGGCTAGATCTGGTGGAGGACAAGGCATAGGGTTGGAGTAGGTGTCCTAGGTAAAATGGCATCTGGGCAGAGTCTCCAGTGATCACTGGAGGTCTCTCCCTTTTTCTCTCTGCATCCCCTTGGTCTATGATCCAGTGTCCTCACAGTCTCCCCACCATGGTCTCCCTCTCTACCCGGAAGCATGTGGGTCCATGGCCACCCTCAAGGACTCTGTCCTGAACCAAAAGAAGCTCTTCTGTGAGTGTGTGTGTGTGTGTGAGTGTGTGTGTGCATGCACACATATATGCATGGCGGCTTTTTGTCACCCTCTCCTTGGAATCCACCCTACCTCCAAACAAATAAGCCACAACCCCCTAATGGGTCTGAAGATGCTAGGTTTTTTTTAAAGATTTTATTTATTTATTTAACAGAGAGAGCACAAGCAGGGGGAGCGGCAGAGGGAGAAGGAGAAGCAGGCTCCCCACGGATCAGGGAGCCCGACTCAGGGCTCCATCCCAGGACCCTGCGATCATGACCTGAGCTGAAGGCAAATGATTAAACCAATTGAGCCACCCAGGTGCCCCTGAAGATGCTAGTTTTGAAGCAAGGCAACAGCTTTAACAAAGCCTCTGAGCAAAACTTGCCTTCTTTAACCACCACCCACTTGGAGGTCCCCATACTGGGGAGATGCATCTTTCACTACTCTGAAAATGTGATTCTTCTGCTCAAATTAACCAAGTACATAGCACCCACACATGCGTGCACATGCACACACACACACACACACACACTCGTGCCCAAATAGACAGTTTCTCAGAAATGAGGATGCAGATGAGAGACTCAAGGACAGGCCTTACTTGCCCTCTGTCAGTTTACAAGAGAATTTATTCCACATATTCATCCATGAATATTTAGCAAGGCAACAATAACATCCAATGACACCCATGAGATACACAACTCGGAGAGCTCTCTCCCAGGAACATACACAATGCTTGATGTCAACGTTTTCACTGGACTGAATGTTTGAAATGCAAGCATTAGCTTACAATAATCCTCCCCTCCCCTCTCTGCCTTGCTCTCTCTTTTTATTTGTGTACCCAGCCATTTCTTCCATTTTTGATGCAAACCACCGAGCAAATTCTTTACAATAACAACAGATCCGGTGGGTTATGAGGACAGCTACCAAAGATTTCAGAAGCATTTATGGCACAAATGAATTTTCAGACACTCCATCCTTTCTTTTTGCTCAAGAAAACACACACACACATGCGTGTGCGCGCACACACCCCACGTTGAGCAAGGGCTGTTCTAAGATTGGCTAACATTTGATAAAACCAGGAAAGCTGCAGACTTTTGACAAGCCCCTATGGCTGTTGAATAATGGCCCCCAAAGACACCCTGCTCTGACCCCCTGGAATCTGTGAATGTTGTAACATATGGCAAAGGCACTTTGCAGATGTGATTAAGTTAAGGATCTTGAGATAGGAATGTGACCCTGGATTATCCAGGTGGACCCTCAGAGTAATCATTAGAATCCTTGTAAGAGGGAGACAGAGCAAGAATATGGGAGGGAGAGGCCATGTGATGATGGAAGGCAGAGGAAGGGGACCACGAGCCAAGGGTTGCAGGCACCCCCCCGAAACTGAGCAGGACCCCCAGAGCCTCCGAAAGAACAAGCCCTGTCTACACTTGACTCTATAGCCCAGTGAAACTAATTTCAGGCGTGGGGCCTCCAGAGCTGTAAGAGAAAGAAAATGTGCTGTTTTCTGTTACTAAGTTTGTGGTAATTTGTTACAGCCGTAGCAGGAAACACACAGTCCCAATAGCTCAGGAGGAAGGTCTTTGTCTCCCCACACATGTGTTGGGGCATCTCCTGAGGGCTCTGCTGTCAGTGTGGGGCCACTG